TGCGATTTACTCAAGCGCCGCGCTCCCGACACCCAGGCACCCAGGAGTCGCGCTCACGCTTATGATTCCCTTGCAGATTACCTAGGAATCGGGATCTCGCTGCCCTTCGTGGCCCCGTTGCAGCCCTTCGTGGCCGCCTCGCTTGGTTTCGCGGCCCCGTTGCAGCCCTTCGTGGCCCCCTCGCTGCCCTTCGTGGCCCCTTTGCAGCCCCTCGTGGCCTCCTCGCTGCCCTTCGTGGCCCCGCTGCAGCCCTTCGTGGCCCCCTCGCTTTGTTTTGTGGCCCCGTTGCAGTCCTTTGTGGCCCCTCGCTGCCCTTCGTGGCCCCGCTGCAGCCTTTCGTGGCCCCATTGCAGCCCTTCGTGGCCCCCTCGCTGCCCTTCGTGGCCCCGTTGCAGCCCTTCGTGGCCCCCTTCGCTTCCCTTCGTGGCCCCATACATACACACACACACACACATATAAATATATATATATATATATATATATATATATATATTATATATATATAATATATACATGCCCTTCGTGGCCCCCGCTCGTTCGCGCCCGTGGTTGCCCCAAATGCATGCCCTTCGTGGCCCTGCTGTCGCCCTTCGTGGCCCCTTCGCTGCCCTTCGTGGCCCCGTTGCTGCCCTCAGTGGCCTCGTTCTTGCTTTCCGCGGCCCAATATACGTATGCCCTTCGTGGCCCCCGCTCGTTCGCGCTGGTTTTGGCCCCATGTGCATGCCCTTCGTGGCCCCGCTGTCGCCGTGTGTGGCCCCCTCACTGTTCTACGTGGCCCAGTTGCTACCATCAGGGGCCCCATCGTTGCCTTCTGTGGCCCCGCATTATTTGCCTTTCGTGACCCGCGCTCCTCGTGGCCCCATACGCATTCCCTTCGTGTCCCCGCTGTCGCCCTTCGTGGCCTACATCGTGTCCTTCGTGGCCCTGCTGTCGTTCTCGCTCTCGCTCTCGCTTTCGCTCGTCGTCGTCATCGCCGTCGTCGTCGTCGTCGTCGTTGCCGTCGTCGTCGACGTCGTCGTCGTCGTCGTCCTCGTCGTGGTCGGTCCGCTGTCCGTCCGTAGGGGGGTCGGGTCGACGGTCCGCGGCCGCCCCGCCGATCAGCGCTGCCGCTGGCCAGGCCGACGGTCCGCGGCCGCCCCGCCGCTTGCCGGGGCCCGGCCTGCAGGGAAGAAAGGTATAACCCCCAAAAGGGGTTCGATCGAAGACCGAGAGGGCGGGTATCGAGGGCTTGGGGAATACTCGTTATTGCACACTCGAGCAGATAAGGGCGAACAATCTTAAAATGATTGTTGTTGTTGTTGCTGTTGCTGTTTGTTTGTTGTTTGTTCGTTTGTTTGTTTGTTTGTTTGTTTGTTGTGGTTGGTTGGTTGGTTGGTTGGTTGGTTGGTTGGTTGGTTGGTTGGTTGGTTGGTTGGTTGTTGTTGTTGTTGTTGTTGTTGCTGTTGCTGTTGCTGTTGCTGTTGTTGCTGTTGATGTTGTGGTTGTTGTTGTTGCTGTTGTTGTTGTTGCCGTTACTGTTGTTTATGTTTATGTTTATGTTGGTGTTGTTGTTGTTGAACATTATTTCTTCTTAAGAATAATTATTGTTGGGGCCCCTGGTGCGCGACCCTCCGCCGCGCCTAGGCCGCAGCCACATTTTCATCGTTTTCGTGAGGAAGTCTCAGGCAAAACGGGTTGGTCCGGATCCGGTTGTTTTGTTACGGCCCGCTTTCCCTTGCAACAAATAAGCTAAAGTGGACATTTCTTGTTCTAACACAACCAAACTTCAAGAATCCCTTGCAAAAAATAAGGTAAAGTGGACATTCGCGCGCGCAAGACGAAATCCTTCCAAAACCTTAGTTTTCGTAGCGATTTTAACAAAAAAAACATCAAAACACCATTTTTTTTTATATATATATATATATATATATATATATATATATATATATATATATATATAAAAAAAAAACTAAAAAACAACAACAACAAATAAATTGTCAAAATTTCATCCCGCGCGCTCTTGCGGATTCGTAGGAAACCCAACACTTTTTAAACATTTCTGTCAAACGGGCTTTTGCGAGCAACTTTTTCGAACTTCTGCAACAACGGTTGCGCACCTGCCAGGGCCATCATCCCTGTCAAATAATACCATGCGGGACACATTCGTTTTTTCTTCGCGCGCGCACGCCGTCGTCGTCGGCCGCGGGGCCTTGAATAGTAGCCACGGTCGTCCGCATGCCACGAAGTGAAGTGTCCGAACGTCATAGGGCGGGAAGCTGGGTGTGGGTGGTGGCGAAGAGTCGTTTTGAAATTTGGTAGAGCTTGAACCGGCCCCCCCACAAAGTGGGGGTATTGCCCGCCTCCTATGAAAACCCTGGCACTGGTGAGAACGGAGTGTCCCCACGTGCTAGTAATTGTTGTTGTTGTTGTTGTTGTGGAATTCTCATTTCTGAAGAATAATTATTGTTGATCCCCCCACCGGTGCATATGGTTTTTTCTGAATCAAAGTGTGCCCCTCGACGCTCGCAGTCTGTTTTTTGACAGGGAAAATCTTCCTGCTCAAACTGGCCCCCTGGCCCCCGCGTTACAACAACAACGGGTCCCGCCTGAGACTTCCTTACAATTTAGCCAGGACCCCCGCTCCCGCCCGAGACTTCCTCGCATTTTATTCAGGAATAGCGCTCTCGCCTGGGAATTCCTTGCAATTTATTCAGGCATCGCTCTCCCGGCGCTCTGGAGTCGCGCTCTCGCTGGAGACTTGCTTGCAACTTACTGAAGAATGGCCTTGCGTTGGAATTTCATGCAATTCGCCCAAACGCCGCGCTTCCGACACCCAGGCACCCAGGAGTCGCGCCCGTTGTGGCCCCATGTGCATGCCTTTCGCGGCCCCGCTGTCGCCATTTGTGTCCCCGTCATTGTCCTACGTGGCCCAGTTGCTACCCTCAGTGGCCCCATAGTTGCCTTCTGTGGCCCCGCATTATCTGCACTTCGTGGCCCCCGCTCGTTCGCGCTCTTCGTGGCCCCATACGCATTTCCTTCGTGTCCCTGCTGTCGCCCTTCGTGGCCTACTTCGTGTCCTTCGTGGCCCTGCTGTCGTTCTCTCTCGCTCTCGCTTTCGCTCGTCGTCGCCGTCGTCGTCGTCGTCGTCGCCGTCGTCTTCGACGTCGTCGTCGTCGTCGTCGTCGTCGTCGTCGTCGTCGTCGTCGTCGTCGGTCCGCTGTCCGTCCCTCTTGGGGTCGGGTCGACGGTCCGCGGCCGCCCCGCCGATCAGCGCTGCCGCTGGCCAGGCCGACGGTCCGCGGCCGCCCCGCCGCTTGCCGGGGCCCGGCCTGCAGGGAAGAAAGGTATACCCCCCAAAAGGGTTCGATCGAAGACGAAGAGGGCGGGTATCGAGGGTTTGGGAAATACGCGTTATTGGACACTCGAGCATATAAGGGCGAACAGTCTTAAACTTATTGTTGTTGTTGTTGTTGTTGTTGTTGTTGTTGTTGTTGTTGTTGTTGTTGTTGTTGTTGTTGTTGTTGTTGTTGTTGTTGTTGTTGTTGTTGTTGTTTTCGTCTATTCCACCATTTATGCAGCTGTCTCAGTTCTATCATATCATGAACACGCACGGCGCTGGCAAGTACTGGTATTGCGCTCATGGGCAAAAGACATTCCGTCGTTGACGGAGCAGCCTGGCATGGGGACAAGAGAGCGTTCGATGAGAGATCGGTCCCCGATACTACCGAGACCTGGTGTCGGGGGATCATCACACCTGAAGCCTTCGACCCCAAACCTGGCTCTGCTGAAGTCCTCCCCAGCCCCCGAATCCTTTTCACGGTTTCAGTGGGTCTGCGCATCGACAAAAACACGACTGGAGCTCGCGACCCCTCCTTCAGGGTCCACTTCGATCCGATCGGTCTGGTTCGATATCGATTTCGTCCTGCCCGATCCGCTTCGATTCGGAACTTGCGACGGTCTAAGGTGGCCCGACGCTTGAATGGCGCTGTTGTGCATCCTGGCGCGGCCGATCCGACCCGATTCCGACTCCGTGCCGATGCAGCCCGATCCCACGCGCGTTCCGACTGGCGATCCGATCTCCCCATTCGGTGCTGGCCTGATCCTGCCTCCTCCGCGGCACCTCCCGAGCCGGTCCCGGCAGGCCACCCGCGGGGACGCGAGTGTAGTCGCGCCTCGATCGTCTCGGCCGGGGCCGATCGACGAGCGACGTTCGATCCAGACCCCTCTGTGCGCCTGCTCGGCAGTTTGCCATGCTCTCATCGCGCACTGCTGCGGTTCCCGTGCTCGCGTCGACGCGTCCGCTCCAGCACTTTTTCCTCTCAGCGTCTCGCCAGGCTTAGCGTTCCGCCGCCGTGCGCGGCCTGGAGGCACAGCGCCGGCACGCGATCTGCCACGCAAGTCTCCCCCATGCGCGGCGGCGGGATGCGACCACGGTGTGCCTGCGAGCACCGCCAATGCGCTTGTGTACAGCACAGTTTGCCCGCGAGCACCGCAACGTGCCAGAGAGCACCACAGTGTCATCGCGACCGCGAGACGGCGTGCGAAGACTGACCCTGCCATTACAACATTCGCCAGTGAGCGCCACACGCATTCACAGCACCATGCCGAGGCCTGCCAGAACCACAACACCCTGGAAGGGCGGCATGCCGTCTGCGAACGCCAGCAATCTGCACCTGCGCATCACACCTGCCTGCTACGCCTGGCGATCCCTCGAATAATGCCTGGCTAGACCCAGCAGTTTTCCACCCTCCACCTTGCTGATTTTGGATAGCCCCTCGCTGCTCCTGGTCGCTCCGAGGGCGGCGCTGGCGCGAGTCGTCGCGACGTTCGGGGGGGAAGAGGGGGCGGTCTCGTTGAAGGCCGTTATCGCGGATGACTTTGGGAGGGGGCAGAGTGAGCGAGTCCAGGTTCTTTCCTCCTCCCTCCCCCGTCTCTTCCTCCCTCCTCCCGCCCTCCGCACCATCGTCGTCATCCTCGTCCTCCCTCGCTCCTCGTCTTGCTCCCCCTCCTCCCTCCCTGAGGACGGCAAGGTGTACTACACCGTCAACGCACTCAAAGTCGCTGGCGGCAAGGAGTACGTTACCAACAACTACTTCGACAGGGTGGAGTAGCAAGCCGCTGGCGCCGGAAGACCTTGATCACGAGCCCTAATCCGCCTTGACGTCGCGAGGGGGCGGCCTTCTGAGAAGGCGTGCGGGGCTTCTTGGAAGGTGGGGCCCTCCTTGCGAGCAGTCGAGGCATCGAAGAAGCCTTGCGGGAAACCGCCGGGCCCGTCTAAAAGGGCCCTGCCGTTTGACCGAGAAGCCCCCCACGCCTTCCCAGAAGGCCACCCCCCTCGCGCCACCCCCCCGTGCGCCGCCGCCCCAGTGCACTCACCCACGCAAGTACGGCGGGCTCGCGCCGCGCGGACTCGGCGGCGACCCCGGCGCGGGGCTCAAGGGCCGACCGCTGCCGGTGGCCCTTAGCCGAGCCACATTGAACGATCCGCGCTCTCGGATCGGGTGTTGCTAGAAGTGCCCCTGGCCCAAGGTGCCCCTGACTTTTCGCTCAATTTTGGAGCCCCTGGGGCCCTCTGGGCCTCGCGAGGGGTGCTCTGGAGGCCGCCTGGGCCACCCCGAGAAACCTGGGGGTACCTTGGGCCAGGGGCACTTCTAGCAACACCCAGTCGGAGAGCGGCGATCGCTCCGGGTTGACGATCCACGCGGTGTCAGAGGCTGACGCCGATGTGGTCACGACACGAGCCTGCCTCGGGAGCAACGTGTGTAGGGGACGAGCTCATGGGGTGAACGCATCGACCCCCGATCGCGCACGCATCGCCGACAGAGGCCCGATCGCCGATATTGTAGCCCAACCATGCCCAGGACCGTGGGGCTCTGCTGTCGGGGGTCGATGTATATATGTCTGTCTGTCTGTCTGTCTGTCTGTCTGTCTGTCTGTCTGTCTGTCTGTATGTATGCATGCATGCATGCATGCATGCATGCATGTCTGTCTGTCTGTCTGTCTGTCTGTCTGTCTGTCTGTCTGTCTGTCTGTCTGTCTGTCTGTAGGTGTCTGTCTGTCTGTCTGTCTGTCTGTCTGTCTGTCTGTCTGTCTGTCTGTCTGTCTGTCTGTCTGTCTGTCTGTCTGTCTGTCTGTCTGTCTGTAGGTAGTATGTATGTATGTATGTATGGTATGTGTATGTATGTATGTATGTATGTATGTATGTATGTATGTGTGTACGTATGTATGTATGTGTATGTATGCATGTATGTATGTATGTATGTATGTATGTATGTATGTATGTATGTATGTATGTATGTATGTATGTATGTATGTATGTATGTATATATACACATATATCTCGGCGATGTACCGCCGATTCCAGGTCGCAGTTCCCCCCCCCTGAGCTGGCCCCCCTCCTCCTCCTCATCCTCTTCCTCCTCCTCCTCACGTTGCCCCTCACTGCCACGTTCCTCGCACACCTCCTCCCCTCGTCTCGGATTGGCTGGACTGGCAGGCGCGCCAGCAGTCTCTCGTGCCCTGGCTCTCGCTTCCGATGCGGGCCGGCCGCCCTCACAGCCCCGCCGGGTTCGCTCAGAGGTGCCAGCTAGCTCGCCCGAGCATCACGCTGCATCGCCTCTGCACCAGCCATAGGCGATGCAATGCGAGCCAGAGAGTTTCCTCCTGGCCATTAAGAGCCATGCGCACCGCACAAGCGTTTTGTCTCTCCCCCAGGCCGTCTTTAGTACCCTCGCGGCGACTTCGCGAGCGGCCGTACGCTTCCGCATCCTCGTTGCCTAGGACGTCGCCTCGCTCCTGCCACCTCCTCTCGGGTCGGACGCAGTGGGGGATTGGAGTCGGAAGAGGGGGCCCGAGGTTTGAGATTTTCGGACGCTCTCGTCGGTCCTCGGTGGTTCTCCAGCCTCGGGACGCTCTCCAGCAGCTGCACCTTGCCGAGAGCACTCCGGGGGGGTTGCCCGAGTCGTCCCGAACGGCCCGAGCTAAGGCCCGCGGGCCAGACAACGAGGATCACTGGGGTCGAGGCCTGGGAAACGGAGGGGGTGTGGTGGCGATGATATTTGCTGCACCCTCCCTTCGTCCTCGTCGTCGTCCTCCTCCTCCTCCTCCTCCCTCCTCCTCTTCCTCCTCCTCCTCCTCCTCCTCCTCCTGCGCCTCCTCCTCCTCCTCCTGCGCCTCCTCTGGCGCTGCCGGCGTCGGCCCCGCCGCCAGGCGCCATCCTCAGTGAGGAGGCGCCTCCCGGCCACGGCGGTCGCCTGGGAAGCCCGTGGCACGCATCGGCGGTTCCAAGGGAGGCCCCAAGGGATGGGGCTCCAAGGGCAAAAAGTGACACCAGGTTTGAGTCGGGCATGTCCTCCTACAGGAGGAGTATTCGAAAGCAGTTTGCTAGTCTGGTGACGATTTTTTGACTGCTTACGCAGGACGAGAGATTTGCCTGAGGTGCAAACGGCGATGATGAGTTGGAAGTCAATGACCGAACCCCCTTCCCCCCTTAGAATCTTAACACGGGCGGGGTCTGGGGTCCGCGTATCCGATTTCTTCCGGTTCCCCGTCTCAATGTAATCATATACATTTCAAACGGGGTAAAAATCGGATCCGCCGTAAAAGATAAGACCAAACACGGATCCAGCAAATCCGAAATCGGATCCGCACGGACGGAAATCGGATCCACGCGGACGGAAATCGGATCCACCGAACTTCGAGCCGTCGATCCACAACCACAATTTGATCCGCGCGAACTTCACGGGATCCGACGGCGGTTATCTCACGCGCGTCTGCTCAAGGCTTGGAGCCGTCGATCCAGGCCCAAGAGGAAAGACTTTTCGTCCTGGCAATGTATTTTCGAATGTATTTGATATTTTTTGACTATTTCTTTTTTCGTCCAAACTCCGCCTGTAGGGGGACGTGCCCGACCTGACCCCGGGTTGGTTTGGAGGCCCCTCGTTCTCGGAGCCCCAGCCCTCGGGGCTCCGTCTTTGAGCCGCTGCTTGCCGCTGATCCGCCAACGCCCCCCCCGTTGCTGTTCGCCCCCCTTCGCCATCTGTCCCCCGGCTCGCCTCTCCCAGGACTCCTCCCCGCCCGGGCCCTGCTCTCCTGCCCAAGAGCCTCTGGCGACGAGACGTTCTCGATGCTGGCGCTCCTCCCGATTTCGGCATCCAGAGGCCGTCCCATTGGGCTCAATCTCTTCCTCGTTCTTCCTCTTCCTCCTTCTCCTTCCTCCTTCTCCTTCCTTTTTCCTCCTGATTCCTCCTTCCTCATTGGGCTCAATCTCCTCCTCCCTCTTCCGCTTCCCTTTCCTCAGCGGGGAGGTTGGAAAATAAAGGTGGGGCGGCAGGAGGCTCCAGGATGTCCACGCAGGGTTCTGGAAGGTCTCCGAGCAGTCCTCGTGTTTCTCCATCCTCCATCTTCTGTCCTCGTCAGGGCCGAGAAGGAGCCAAAGGAGGAGATTCATGGAGGTGCCGAGAGAGGAAGGGAAGAGGGAGGGAGAAAGAGAGGGCGGACATATGAGAAGCGGAAGGAGAATGTTGTTGCTCCTGCTGCTGCTGATGGTGGTGGTGGTGATGATGACTTATTGCGACGACGTCGATGAGGATTCGGATGACGATGATGTTTGTGGTAGTGGTGATGGCGATTGTGATGGTGGTGTCGGTGATGGTGGTCAGGACGATGTGCAGAGGATGCTGCTGCTGCTGCTGCTGCTGATGACGTTGAGGATGACGATGACGATGAATATGACGATGATGCTGCTGATGATGAAGACGATGAAAAACATGATGCTGATGATGCTGATGATGACGAACATGATGATGATGGCGATGCTGATGATGATGCTGATGCTGATGGTGATGACGATGATGATGATGATGAGGATGATGATGCTGATGACGATGATGACGATGTTGATGCTGATGCTGATGATCATGACGATGATGATGATGATGATTACGATGATTAGGCTGCTGCTGATGCTGATGCTTCTGCTACTGATGCTGATGATGACGACGATGCAGATTATGATGGTGATGATGGTGATGACGACCACAGCGACGACGATGATGATGCTGATTGGTGAGGAGGATGATGACGATGGCGATGGCGATGACGATGATGATGATGATGATGATGATGATGACGATGATGATGATGGTGATGCTGCTGGTGATGATGATGATGATGATTCTGCTGATGATAATGACGATGATGCTGATGATGAGGGTGATGGAGGTGATGATGATGCTGCGGCTGATGATGATGATAATGATGATGATTATGCTGGTGATGGTGATGGTGATACTGATGATGCCGATGATGAAGAAGATGATGTGGGAGGTGGTGGTGGTGATGATGATGATGATCGTAAGGATGATGAGGATGCTGCTTTTGCTGCTGATGACGATGATGCTGCTGATGATGATGTTGATGCTGATGCTCATGATGATGATGAGGATGAGGCTGATGATACGAATGATCATGTTGATGATGCTGATGATGATGCTGATGATAATGACGATGACGACGGTGATGCTGCTGCTGCTGATGATGATCATGGGTGATGATGACAAAAACGGCGATGATGACGATGATGATTGGTGAGGATGATCGGGAATGATGACGATGATGGTGGTACTGCTGCTGCTGCTGCTGATGATGATGGTGGTGGCGGTGGTGGTGTTGGCGATGCTGATGATGATGCTGCTGATGATGCTGCTGATGATGATGCTGATTTTGATGATGATGACGAAGATGATGATGCTGAGGATGATGCTGATGCTTATGCTATTGATGCTGATGCTGGATGATGATGTTGATCCCGATGATGATGCCGATACCTATGATGATCATTTAGATGATGATGATGCTGATGATGTGATGATGATGATGATGCTGCTGCTGATGATGATGATGATGATGATGACGATGATAATGATGATGATGATGATGATTATGATGATGATGATGATGATGATGATGATGATGCTGATGATGATGATGATGATTATGATGATGACGATGATGATGATGATGATGATGATGATGATGATGATGGTGATGATGATGATGATGATGATGATGATGATGATGATGATGATGATGATGTTGCTGCTGATGATGATGATGATAATGATGATTAGGAGGAGGAGGAGGAGCAGGAGGAGGAGCAGGAGGAGCAGGAGGAGGAGGAGCAGGAGTAGGAGGAGGATGCTGATGTTGTTGATGATTCTGATTGTCATGCAGGGGGAGCAGCAGTGAGGGAGTGCGGGAGTGGACGTGATTTTGACGCAGGTTTTATCCATCGAGGACGGAGGGGCTCATAAGGGATGATGGTGGTTGTGCTGATTGTGATCCCGAGTGCGATTATCATGATCACGACGCTGGTAATGGTGCTTGTGCTGATGGGGTCGGTTATAGAGATGGGTGCATATGGTGATCATGTTGAGGGCGCTGCTGCCGATTGCGACCCTCGTCACCACCAGCAGGCTCTTCGGGGGACCCTGCCCCGCACCAGCCATGGCGCGGCGCAAGGTCAAGAGCAACGGCGCCCATAGCCTGGGCAAGGTTGGGTGAATCAGTGTTTATATATGTATATATATATATACACGGATGTATGTATGTATGTATGTATGTATGTATGTATGTATGTATGTATGTATGTATGTATGTATGTATGTATGTGTATATATATATATATGTATGTCTGTATCTACAGAGGTATGTTTAGATGTATGTTTATATGATATTGTATATATGCATATATATACACATAGGTATAGATAGATAGTTACCTTCGGTCCATCCCGCCACCGTGCCTAGGTTGTAGATCAGAGGCCTCTTGGATGCCTGTGGGGATCTCTCGGGGGATCTCTTGGAAGCCGGAGGGCTCGAAATGTCGATTCGTGTTCCCCTTCTGTGGCCTTTATTGGGCCTCTCTCGAGCCCTGTCGGGCCGTCGTTTGGGGCCTCTTTGGCCGTTTTCGTGGCCTCTTGAGGACCTCATGTGGGCCTCTTGGGGCGGTCTTGAGGTCCTCTTGGACCGCCTGGGAGCGTCGGGATCGTGGTTCTGGCCTTTTGGGCCCTCGTGGGAGGGCTCTCGGGGCTCTCTTGGGGCATCTTGGGGGCCTCTTGGTCCGACGTGTATGTATGTTTGTATGCATCTATCTGTCTGTCTGTCTGTCTGCCTGCCTGTCGTCTGTCTGTCTGTCTGTCTATATGTAAGGTCTTGTAGATGTACATTCATGTACATATGTGTGCACGTGTACATGCATGTATGTGTGTGCGTATATATGCATATAAAGACGTATGCATACATGTATGTATGTATGTATGTATATATATATATATGAACATATATGTGTGTATGTATGTACGTACGTACAAATTTATGTATGCATTAGTGTGTCTTTGTGTGCATGTAAGGCATGCAGGATGTTTACATGTATGTATGTGTGTAGGTAGGCATGTAGGTTAGTAAGTAGGTCTGTATGTATGCATGCATGTATCTATGTATGCACGTATGTACGTACATATGTACACACGTACATATGTATGCATGCCTGTTTGTCTTTCTGTCTGTTTTTCGGTATGGGTGTATTTTTGTGTATGTATGCATGCATGCGCTTATGCATATACGCACACAAACATATATACATGTACCTATATATGGTGTATAGGTGCCTGAATGTAATTAGGTATGTAGGCAGGTAAGTATGTAGGTACTTAGGTATGTAGGTATGCATGCATGTACGCATGCACATAAGCATGCATGTATGTACGTATGCATTTACCTATGCATGTATGCATGCACGTATCCGTGTGCGTATGCCTGTATATAGGCGTACATGTATATATGCATGCGTGTATACATACAGACACGCGCATGTATGCAAATGTACAAACTGACATTTGTCCAAATACACATGTACATTCACATGCACATGTTTGCATATCCAGATGTTTGAATCCATGCTCCTGCATGCATGTATGCATGCACGTGTAAGTTATGTGTATATGTATTTATGCATGTAGCTATGTATGTACGTATGCATGTATGTATGTATTTATGCATGCATGCATGCATGCATATATATGTATACATATATATATACATACGTATGTATATGTGTATTTGCATGCACGTACATATATGAATATATCTGTAACTAAATATGTATATGCATATTTGCATATGTATGTGTACGTTTGTAAGTATATATATGTATGTACGTATATGTATATGTATATGTATACGTATATGTATATGCACATATACATGTAGATATATGTATATACTTATACCTGTGGATAATGTTATGTATATACATGTATACATCTATGTATAGCTAAATGTATATGTGTACTTGCACATGTATATGTACATGTATATGCATATGCACATGTATGTGTATATGTACTTGTGTATATCTGTATGCTGGTGTATATACACTTAATTATATGTATATGTATACTCATATGATTATGCATCTGTGTATATAGGTGCGTATATCTGCATATGTATTTGTATACGCATATGTATATGCAAATGATTATATATATATATATGCGTACGTGTATGTTGGTATACGTATGGTTGAATATGCATGCATGCATGTGTGTGGGTATGTACGTACGTACGTGCACATTACGTGTGTACGTACGTACGTGTGCACGCATGCATACATGCATGTCTGTCTGTCTGTCTGTCTGTCTGTCTGTCTGTCTGTCTGTAGTCTCTCTCTCTTTCTAAATATACGTATATAAGCATCTACATGGTAAGTTGTACATGTTTTGTTCTCTCTCTCTCTCTCTATATATATATACATATGTATATATATTTATATATATATATATATGAATGCCGCTGCTCACCGGGGACTCCTGCGGTATGTCCTGTTTCAGGTTGACGGCAGAGAGGGGCGATAATATACTTGAGGCCAAGCAGGGCGCGCCCCTCCAGCATCTTGTGGGTCGCGGCGACAGTTGAGGGGTTCCCTTCAGGGCCGCTTTCTTGCAGTTCTCCACCGCCCTTTATCCATCCCCGCCAACGTCCGCCCGAGTGTCCAGGGTCTTGGGGCCAGTCCCCAGCCCGCCGACGCCGTGAGCTTTTCAACAGGGGGTCCCCGGACCTCTCGACCCCTTGCAGGGGTCCCGAGCCTTTTCTGATGCTGGTCCCAGGGCTCGAGATCCGCTCCTGGTATCTCCGAGTGGCGAAGCAGAGGCCGCATTGCGCTTGAATGCGTTGGAGGTCTGGGCCCTCCTCCTGTACAAATCTATCCCCTGGAATTTTCCAGTGACGCCTTCCGTCCAGGACTCCGACGCGAATCCAGCCGTGACGATGAGGGCCCCAGGAGGCCCACGGAGGCGCAAATATGGAGCTATGGAGGGGCATTGGCGCTAGGAACCGATTTTGCCCGGGTCCTCCTCGGAAAGGTGGGCTGCAAGGTGAGGTCCAAGAAGAAGAACAGGTCGCAAAGGCGCAAGGACAAGAGGGCGCCAGCTGCAAGACTGCACCAGTCCTGGCCAGCCCGATCCTGAGCCCAGGGTGTGTGTGTGTGTGTGTGTGTGTGTGTGTGTGTGTGTGTGTGTGTGTGTGCGCGCGCGTGTGTGTGTGTGTGTGTGTGTGTGTGTGTGTGTGTGTGTGTGTGTGTGTGTGTGTGTGTGTGTGTGTGTGTGTGTGTGTGTCTGTGTCTGTGTCTGTGTCTGTGTCTGTGTCTGTGTGTGTGTGTGTGTGTGTGTGTGTGTGCGTGTCTGTGTGTTTGTTTGTTTGTTGATTTGTTTGTTTGTTTGTTTGTTTGTTTGTTTGTTCGTTTGTTTGTTTGTTTGTTTGTTTGTTTGTGTGTGTGTGTGTGTTTGTGTGCGTTGCTACTTCGCATGGCCGTGACCGGATTCTTTCATCATGGCGCGTTCGACTAAGTTCGTTCGCAATTGGTACGTCCACCGGCCGACCGCGCCTGAGGCTCCTCTGCGCCGCCGAGTTAAAAGTGTGCGTTGCTACCCACCGCCTGCTTCTTCGTTGGCCTGCTCCTGCTCGTCCTTCACTTGCATGTCGCACCTTGTCCCCAGTGCCTGAGACCGCCCGCGCGCACCTGCCCCGCCGACTCGGCGGACGGGCCTCCTTCCTACGCCCTCTTCCGCGGCGGCCATCGTCTTTCCCATTCGTCTTCGCGCCCCCCGCCTGGCGCGCCTCGCTGGTACTGGCCCCCGCGCTTGCCATCGCGCATGCTGCCAATGAGGTGTGTGTGTGTGTGTGTGTGTGTGTGTGTGTGTGTGTGTGCGTTTGTGTTTGTGTGTGTGTGTGTGTGTGTGTGTGTACGTGTGCGTGTGCGTGTGCGTGTGCGAGTGTGCGTGTGTGCGTGCGTGCGTGCGTGCGTGCGTGCGTGTGTGTGTGTGTGTGTGTGTGTGTATGTTTCCGTGACTCATGCTCAAATGACCCTGGCTCGAGGGAGCCCGGCAGGCTTGCTGTGTCCGAAGCGGCGACCGCCCGCGCGCCCGCCGGGCTGTTTCCACGGACGATGGCAACCGCCAGGGCGCGTCGCCGCTGGCAGCGGCGTGCGCGGGCCGCGGGCGCACCCACCGCCGCGGGCGCGGCGGGCGCCGTGGCTGCCGCCAGCTCCTGGGTCGCCGCGGCTTCTGCGGCCGCCGTTGGCGCCGCTGGTGCCGCGTGCGCTTCCGGCCTGGCCCGCGCCGCCGCCGCCGCCACCGCTGGGGGCGCCGCGTGTGCTGCTGGCGCCACGGGCGCCGCTGGCGCCGGGGGCGCCGCCGGTCTGGTCTGAGCCGCGGGCGCCGTCGGCGCTGCCAGCCTGGCGCGCGCCGCTGGAGCCGCGGGTGCTACGGGCGCCGTTGGCGCCGCAGGCTTCGCAGGCGGCGTGCCCGCCGCTGGCGCTGGGGGTGCCGCTGGTGACGCGGGCGCCGCGGGCGCTACCAGCGCGACGCGCGCCGAGGAAACCGTGGCGGCTGGCGCCGCCTTTGTGGCGTGTGCTCTGGGCGCGGCGGCCGGGCGCCTCTGGCGCCGCGCGTGCAGCCGGTGCTACTGCCTACGCCGCCGCTTACGCCGCCGCGGCGGCGGCCACCGCGGGGCTCAGGCCGGCGGTGGCCGCCTTCGTTTGGCCGGCCAGGCTCGCCGCCCGTGCGGCGGCCCCATTGGGCGGCCCGTCAGGCCTCGTGCCAGCCGGCGGCCCTGGCGCCGCGCGGAGCGACCTCGGCTAGGGCCCTGCTGGCAAGCAGCACGACGGATTCCAGCAGCACGACAATGAGCACCATGACGGACTTCAGCGGCACTATGAGCAGCACGATGGATTTCAGCAGCACGACCGTGGGCAGCATGACGGAGTCCAGCAGCATTGTCGTGAGCAGCGCGACGGATCCCAAAAGCGCGACCGCGAACAACATGACAGACTCCAGCAGCACCATGGTGAGTAGCACGACGGCCTCCATCAACACGACCGTGAGGAGCATGAAAGACTGCAGCAACACCGTCGTGAGCAGCACGACGGGCCCCATCAACACCATCGTGAGCGGCGCGACGGGCTTCGGCAGCACGACCGTGAACAGCATGAGGGACTCAGGCAGCGCCGCCACGAACAGCATGACAGACCCCAACAGCACGGCGGTTTCGAGCACCACGACCGCGAGCAGTGCGACGGGCTGCAGCAGCACGGCCGCGAGCAGCAGGATCGACTCCAGCAGAACCATCGTGAGCGGCGCGACGGACTCCAGCAGCACGACCGTGAGCAGCAGGACGGACTCCAGCAGCACGACGGTGAGCAGCGCGACTCACTCCAGCACCGCGTCGGTGAGCAGCACGACGGGTTCCAGCAGCACGACCGTGAACAGCAGGACGGGCTTTTGGAGCGCCGTCGTGAGCATTGCGACGGAGTCCAGCAGCACGAGTGTGAACATCATGGTGGTTTCGAACTGCACGGCCGCGAGCAGCGCGACGGGCTGCAGCAGCACGGCCGTGAGCAGCAGGATCGATTTCAGCAGCGCGACCGTGAGCAGCACGACGGACTCCAGCAGCACGACGGTGAGCAGCACGATTGACCCCAGCAGCGCGGTGAGCAGCACGACGGATTCCTGCCGCGCGACCATGAGCAGCATGACGGACTCTTGCAGCGCCGTCGCGAGCATTGCGATGGACTCCAGCAGCGCGACCGCGAACAGCATGGCGGACTCCAGCAACGCGACCGTGAGCGGCATGGCGGATCCAGCAGCGCGACCGTGATCAGCATGGCGGACTCCATCCAGCGGCGCCGTCGCGAGCAGCACGACGGCCTCCAGCAGTGCGTCCGTGAGCAGTGCGACGGAAATCATCAGCACCATCGTAATCAATCATCACGACGGGCTCCATCAGCGCGTCCGCGGGCAACGTGCCAGCACAGCGCGACCGCGATCAGCGTGCCGGACGCCGGCAGCGCCAGCGCGATCTTCTGGATTTGCCCATTTTTGAGGGCCTTGTTGGCGGTGAAGCTGGAGCCCGCCGCCGCGAGCTTCAGTTCCAGGCCCAGCGCGTGCGAGATGGGTGAGGTCGGCAGCCGGCCCTGTCGGTGCTCGACGACGCGTGGCTGGTGACGCTGGAGCCCGCCATCGCGAACTACAATGGCGCCCTGATCAGCGCGTGCGAGAGGAGCGAGCCGTGGCAACGATGGCCAGCTCCGCCGCTTCTCAGGGAGATGTACGTTGGGATGATGATCCCGCGAACATCCTGAGCTACGGCGCTGTGCAGTGTGGGTGGGGGCGGACGGCGGTGGCGGCGCGCCTGACGGCGCGGGGAGGGGTGGCAGTTGTGGCGGGCGTGGCAGCATTTGTTGGGACCTATCCGACGGAGGCAACTCGGATACGGTCTGCATCGCCAGGTTGTCGTCTATGCAGTTCGCGAGCCCCGCGCAGTTCGCGTTCCCCGCTGGCGCAGCCTCCGCGCTCTTGGAGGGCGCCTCCTCCTCGATAGCGCGGCGGGGTATTGCGAGTGGCCCCCGCTGACGTTGGAGCGACGGCAGTCATCTTTTCGGCAGAGATTGAGGCGCTCATAAGGGTGGGCATGCATCTTGCCCTCGCACCTCTGGAGGGCGGCTTCTCCCCTCGGATGCCATTGTCGGGTGTCGCAGGGGTGGCGCGGGGGCGATGTCCATCGCCCCGAAGCTGGGCGTGTTTCGGGGGCCTGTAAACAAACGGTGGGCAGAGGTTGGGGTGGTCCTGGAGGTGGACGTGAAAGCTGAGCTTGTGTGCGGCGGCAATTCAGAGATGGTTGGCATTGCAAACTGGTCGCTGGTGCAGCTCGTGAGCCCCGCGCAGTTCGTGCCCCGCTGGCTCGGTGCTCACTCGCCCGGGAGGCATTTCGGCCGAAGTGGAAGCCGCGTTGCAGCCTTCCCCTGAAGTTTCGGGGGCTCCAGGAGGCCCTCGCGCCGTTGCGCCTCGACGAGAGCTGTCTAGTAAAGCCCGAATCACCCCGGGCGGTGCTGGCGCGATCTGCGGCGATGGCGGCGTCAGATACCATGCCGCGTTCGATGGCGACAATGCCGCCAATCCTCCTCCTCCCACCCCCTCGCCGCCCCCCCCGCAAGGTGGTGCCTTGCCGCAGGCGCTTGTCGCGATTAGTGGCGCCCCCAGCGATTATGGCGGCGTCGGAGACCAGCGTGCCTCCCCTGGACGGGCCCGTGCGCGCGGTGGGTGCGATCAGTGGCGCTCCTGGGCGGTTGCGACGACATGCCGGCCCCTGCAATAGCTGGCACATCATCGGATGCGGTGAAGGTCAAGGAGGCTGCGGGCGTCGGCGTTGAGGCGGCGGCGGCAACCTGCGACGAGGGTGGCGCCCTGGACGACGACTGGGCGACGACCCGCTGTTCGACCTTGACCTCTATTCTGCCTGGGCCCAGAACGAACTGTTCGACTGCGCGCAGCCCTGGTGGCGCAGCAGCGCTTGGCTTTCATTGGGCAGGAAGGCCCAGCTTGACCGACCCGCTTGGCAGGCCCCGCCTGAAGTCCGCTGCCGCGCTCGCGGGGATTTGATTCGCGGCGCTGTCCGCGGGGCGCCAGGCGAGACCCTCTATTGCGGCTGCTGGCAGGTTTTGCTGTGTGCTCTTGGCGTGGCGGGCCGCCTGGTTCGCGCGACTTCCCTCCCAGGAATGAGCACCTGGCGCAGCTTTCCGGCCCCAGAACCGCGTGGCCTCCTCCCAGGGAGGGCGCGGCCGTCACCCCCTCTGCGCCTTTCAGGTGCCCTGGCTCGTGCGCCCGCCCTCTGGCGTGGACGTGCTCCCTGGTGTGAGTGCTGCAGTGCTTGCGACGGCCAGTTGCCTGGTTGGCGCGCCCCCCCTGCGGGTGTGAGTGGGTGAGTGAGTCGTGCAGTGTGTGCGTGGGCTGCCCGCCAAGGCGGCCCTCTCCTTGGTCGGCGTTCACCAGTGTTTGCGTCATTCCCGTGTCCTGGCCTGCGTGAGTGCCCCCAAGGCGGCGCGCTCCCTGGTCCACTTGCGCCGATCAGGCGATCCTGGGCGCGGGCTGCCCTCCGTGGTTGCCCGCTCCCCAGCGCTGGCGCCCTTGGGTTCCGGCGTCCCCCCTCTTCCTCCATGTGCCCTGCGTGCTTCCCGTTCCAAGGGAGGCGCGCAGGGCGGGCGCCTTGCCCTGGCGCCCTTCCGCGGGCCGTGCCACGCCGCTCAGCTGCCCCTGCGGCCGGGCCTGCTGCCCGCCCCCTCTCGGTTGTGATGTGCGCGCCGGCCGGGCGGAGCGATCCTTTTCATTTCTTTCCTCCGCTTGCCTTCTTGCCCCCCTTCCCGCGCCCGATTCGGCCCAGCCTTGCGTGGGCGCCGCGCGCTGCCGCTGGGGCCCGGTCCTGGCCTTGCGCCTTGCAGACGACGGCCCAGTGCAGCAAAGCTCGACGCAGCCCGGCCATCAGACGAACAACCAGATGAACTCGTGCGTGGCAGCTTCCCAGGGCTTCGAGGCAGCATTTTGCTGCAGCCCACGCTTTTTGACGCAACGTGAGGAACAACGGATGCACTCGTGCCCGGCAGCTTCCTGGGGCTTTTGTACTGGCGCACTGGCAGCACCGTGCTCCTCGCGCTTTCAGCGCCTGCAGCAGTGGCTTAGGTCCTTGGCTGTGGCCGTGCGCTTTCCTCTCCCTCCAATTCCTCTGCGGCCATCCTGTCTTCCATGCCATCTCTCTTGCACTCGGACAAGTTGTTTGTCGGCGCCCCCCACTACTGCTAGCGCTCGCGCGGATTGCTTCGGCCGAGCTGCGACGAAGCAGAATCAAGCATAACTGTGTGTGTGCCTCATGGGCCACTAGGGCGCACGCGTTGGTCTTCGGCCCAGGACCAGGTCCATGCCAGTAGAGGTGCAGGTGTGCAGTTGTAGAAACGGCTGCTGATGATCCTCAGAACGTGTGTTCGCCCCATGAGTGCTTGCACTGGTGGCGCTCTGCCGATCGCCCGCAGCCCGTGCTGGCCCTCATCTCGCCGCCTCCGTCGTGCGGAGTGGTGTGGCTTCGGTGGGCAGGTACGTGCGAGTGGGCGGTAACAGACGTTCTCAGAATCATCTAAGCTGGCGCCCTCTGGAAGGAGAAGGGCGCTCCCCAGCCGCGGGCGGCGGAGGCCCCGAGCGGCGACCAGACCCACGTCCATGACCCTCGCGGTCTGGACACCGAGGCGCGATCCCATGGACACGCCCACCGCGCGTGGCTCCCTCGCAAACAGACGCCGTGTATCCGTGGGGTCGCGGCCGAGGGGTGCGGACCGTGATCGGGAACAAACGGAAGACGCTGCATTTTTCGGAGGGCCGCCCGGATCTTTCGGATCTGCGCTGGACACCTCTGGTGGCGCCTCTGGCGCCGCTTCAGGCGCTCCGTGCGCCAGAAAGGGGTGTCCAGCACCGATCCGAGAAATCCGCGCGGACCTCCGAAAGTCTCTTTTTATGCCGCTTCTTCTGGCGGGAGTTCATGGTTTAACGCCGCCTCTAGCCTTGAATGGCCGCTATTGAGCGACCCGCGGTATCGGAAGACCGCGATCGCCCAGGGTTGAACGATCTACGCGGCGTCAGAAACCAAGGCGCCAGTCCTCAGATCGACTGTGCGTAAGAACGATCCACGCGGCGTCAGAAACCAGGGCGCCAGTCCTCAGATCGACTGCGCGTAAGAATGACCCATCGCCGGAGTGATCTGGGGTCCGGGCCCACTGGGATCCCCAGATCGCCGAATGCGATGCAACAGCAGCGGGTTGCGCGCCTGGGTTTGGCGTCGCCGCGCCTCCCCGAAAACCGCGCACCAGAGGTCACTCGTGCGCTTCCTCCTCTTCTCCCAATCTCTTCTGGCGGTGACGACCTTTGTGGAAATAGCAATAACACAATCTCAGGAGCAGGAGGAGGAAGATGCTGAGGAGGAGGACCAGTGTAACTCCAAGCGTCATAAGCGATGTAATAAAACCCTCCCTCGAAACTCCTCCTTCCATCATGGCCACGAGACGGTACGGTGGCAAGAGTACGCGATGCCGGTACGGTCAGCATTGTCTGGTTGGGATCGCCGGCACCGGTAGCGCTGGTACGGTATCATGATCGCTCGGTGCCAGTACGGGTACGGTAGCAGGACCGCATGGTACCAGTACGGTACCATGACAACGATACCCTTGGGGGTGGAGCAGGAAGGAGAGGAGGGCGGCAGCAGTGGGAGTAGCAGGAAGGTGAGGCGGGCGATGACGACGGCTCGCGGGAGGGGGGGGTGTCTGGAGGGGGCCGAAGAGCGGCACAGCGGGATAACCAGGATTTGGGGGCCGAAGCAGCATTGGAGGATAGTCCTCCTCCTCCTCCTCCTCCTCCTCGTCCTCGTCCTCCCTCCCTCCACCGTCACCTCCACCGTCGTCGTCGGCACCGTTGTTGTCGACTCCGTTACCTCCGACTCATCTTCCCCACTGCTCGGCATCGTCGTCGTCGTCGTCGTCGTCGTCGTCGTCGTTCTCGTCGTTGTCGTCGTTATCGTCGTCGTCGTCGAGGGCTGGCCCAGGGGGATCCAGGCACCATGGGTGGGGTTTAGGGGCCGGGGGGGGACCAGGGGGGGTCCAGGACCGCGGGGGCTTCCTGTGGACTGGGGGGGTTCCGGGAACCACAGGTGGAGTGCCGAGGGACTGGTCTCGAGGGACCAGGGGTGTCCTGGGGCCGGGAAGTTTCCAGGATTGGAGGGGTCCGGGAAGCGGGGGTGGGTCCTGCGGTCGACAGGGGGGGGGGGACCAGGGGGTGGTCCCGGGGATTGGGGTCACCAGGGGCCGGGGGGTCCCAGGACCTCGCGGGGAGTTCTCGGGACTGGAGGTTCCCAGGACCGCTGGGGGGGAGGGTCCTGGGACTCGGGACCAATGCGGGGGCTGCGGGATTTGCGGAGCTCCGAGGTGCCCAGGGGGTCCCAAAGGGACCCCGGGGTGCCAGGACTGGGGATTCCGGGGAAGTGGGGGAGGGTTTCCAGGACCTGGGGGGTCCTGCGGAGGGGGTTCCAGGACCACGGGTGGGTCTGGGACCCGGGGGGGCTCGGGTCCATGGGACCGGGGGGGTCCCTGGATGGGCCCGGCATGGGGTTGCCCAAGGACGGGGGGGTCCCGTGGGGGGCGGTCCCGAGGTCCCGAGGGACCGGCCCCAATCAGAAGGGTCCCGTGACGGGGGGGTGTGCAGTCTTGGGGACGGGGGTGCGGGACTCGTTTGCCGCTCCGTTGCTGCCAGCGCTGGTGGTCGACAAGGCGATGAAGGTTGATCTTTGGCCCTGCTGCCGATTGGCCGCGGCTGGTTGGCGCGGTACGGATATGCCGCTGCCGGTGCGTCATCGTCTGGTATTGTAGCAGTGGCCAGCATGGTATCGTCCGGTGCGCATACGATATCGTTCGGTACGGTAGCCGCGGGTGGTTGACGCGGTACGGCACGAGCTGGCACCTCTTGGCTGGTATCCGGGCCCCTACAGTATTCATTTCCACTGAGGGAAGTGCCCCGTTGGGAGACAACCGATTGAAAATCCTGAAGCGTGCCAAAGCACCTTTTTATGGACTTCAACACCACGAATCAACCTGACTGTTGCGTCTTGACGATCCTGAATCGTGTCAGAACATAACTCCTGGGACTTCAACACCGTGCATCAACGTAACTGTGGCGCCCTGAGAATTCTCAGCCGCTCCAAAGCATTCTGGCTGGTACGTTAGCCACGAGAGTCTTCGGAATTCTCGTAGTTTTTATGACGAACGTGCGCGGCGCTATTTATCTCCAGAGGAAAAACAATGACTCTCTGTGCCACGAAAGCTTTGCAAAGGCAAGATGCGTCTGTCACAGTATACCTCTTGGAGGTGGTGCATTTGCAAAAGGTCAGTTAAAAGTTGTATGGCTGATGTGATCCAGACATGGTTCAAAATGAGTTGGTGCTGGAGGATGCAACGTCGGAGTGGAATTCCAAATCAGTGCTCGCAGAGCGAGTATCACATACATTTTCGTTATGCGAAGTTGTGCGAACACGTTTGCCGGGTTCGAATGTGCGCGGCGCTCAGGCGAGAGCCACATTTTGAAAACGAACCGCCTTCCACCCGTGAAACTGTTGCGTTTTTGGTAAAGACGAATGTGCGCGGCGCTGAGGCGAGAGCCACATTTTGAAAACGACCCGCCCTCCATCCGTGAAGCGCTTGCATTTGTTTGAGACGAATGGCTGCGGCGCTAACACCAGGGCCACATTTTGAAAAGGAGCCGCCCTCACTCCGTGCTAAAGGAGCCGCCCCCACTCCGTCGCCCTCGCCCTGTCCTCGTCCTCCTTCCTCCTCGTTCCGGCTGTGTTGCACGACTTCAGGAGCACTGCGAGTTGCCCCCGATGCTGGTCTGTGATGCGTCCTCTGGTCTCCGCCTCCTTCCTGGTGTTCCTCTGCCAGCCCTCTGATTTTTGGCGGCAGTGCGAATGTCTCGGAGTGCTGCTTCCTATTCGCTTGCTTGGGTCAGGGGCGCAGGCCCGCAGGCATTTGAGCTTTTACGGAGACCCCACTGCATCTATCGATCTTTCCTGCGAACTTCTGACGTGAATGTGCGCGGCGCTTAGGCGAGAGCCACATTTTGAAACCGACCCGCTTTCCATCCGTTAAAGCCTTGCGGTTTTTTGAGACGCATGTGCGCGGCTAATGCGAGAGCCACATTTTGAAAACCGCCCGTTCTCCATTGGTGAAGCGGTTGTCAGTTTGTACGCGTCAGGGTCATAAGTGGTAAGGAAGCCTCAGGCGAAACGCACCGCCCGCTCTTCCGATTGGCTTCGGGTGCGACAGGAAGGAGTTATTTGAAAGGAGCGGAATTTCGAAGGAAAAGGAATGGAGGAGGATGAGGATGAGGATGAGGATGAGGATGAGGATGAGGATGATGATGATGATGATGATGATGATGATGATGATGATGATGATGATGATGATGATGATGATGATGATGCTGATGCTGATGCTGATGATGATGATGATGATGATGATGATGATGATGATGATGATGATGATGACGATGACGATGACGATGACGATGATGATGACGATGATGATGAGGAGGAGGAGGAGGACATGTGTAAACCCAAGACCCATCAAAGATGTTGAGTTAAAACCTCCCTCCATGCTCGCTCTTCATAGGCACAAAGGTTTCATTCTTATCGAAGGAGATACCCAGTTGGAAAACAAGCGTCTGAACATTGTGACCTGTGCTTGAATACCATTTCTGGGATGTCAACGCCGCGGGTCACCGTTCCAGTTGCGTCTTGACGACCCTGAGTCGTGCAAGAACGCCATTCCTGGGACTTCTACACCACGAATCAACGTATCTGTTTCGCCCTAGCAGTCCGTCATCGTGCCAAAAGACCATTTCTTGCGACGTTAGCCATGCTATTCCTTGAGACGGTTGTGAACTCTTATGACGAATGTGCACGGCGCTGAGGCGAGAGCCACATTTTGCAAAGGAACCGCCCTTCATCCGTGAAGCATTCGTTTTTTTATGACGAATGTGCGCGGCGCTGAGGCGAGAGCCACATTTTGCAAACGACCCAACCTCCATCCGTGAAGCTCTTGCAATTTGTTGCGATGAGTGTGCGCGGCGCTAAGACGAGAGCCACATTTGGAAGACGACCTTTCCTCACTCAGTTAAGCTGTTGCAACCTTTTGAGACGAGTCTGCGCGGCGCTAAAGCGAGAGCCACATTTTGAAAACCACCCGTTCCGACTGGCCTCTGGGTGCGACAGGGAGGAGTCGTTCGTAAGAAGTAGAACGAATGGAGGAGGAGGAGGAGGAGGAGGAGGAGGAGGAGGAGGAGGAGGAGGAGGAGGAGGAGGAGGAGGAGGAGGAGGAGAGGCAGCGACCGCGAGCGCTCTGCCCAGAGGGTGGGGACAGGGCACCGTCTCGCACGGATCTGCTCCCCGCCCGCGCGGAGGCAGCCCTCCCCGAGAGCCCCGCCCGCCCCGCGGCCCCAGCCGCCGCCGCCGCCGAGGGGGCGCCGCCCGCCGCGCCCGCCGTGGCCGACCCCGCCGAGGGCGCCCAGGTGACGCGCACTGGCAGGAGCTCTTCGGCGGCGGCGGCGGGGCTGCCGGGCTCTGTCGGCGGCGAGGCCCGGAGGGTTGTTCCCAGCTACGGCGTGGTGTTGAGTCCTCGTGTTGGATCATCAGCGCCCCGTGTCTCCTCCTCTGCTCTCCTCTCCTCTGCTCTCCTCTCCTCTCCTCTTCTCTCCTCTTCTCTTCCCTGCTCTCCTCTCCTCTCCTCTCCTCTTCTCTCCTCTCCTCTCCTCTCCTCTCCTCTCTCTCCTCCTCTCCTCTCCTCTCCTCTCTCTCCTCTCCTCTCCTCTCCTCTCCCCCTCCTCTCCTCTCCCTCTCCTCTCCTCCTCTCCTCTCCTCTCCTCTCCTCTCTCTCCTCCTCCTCTCTCCTCTCTCCTCTCCTCTCCTCTCCTCCTCTCCTCTCCTCTCCTCTCCTCTCTCTCCTCTCCTCTCCTCTCCTCTCCTCTCCTCTCCTCTCCTCTCCTCTCCTCTCCTCTCCTCTCCCTCTCCTCTCCCTCTCCCCTCTCCCTCTCCCTCTCCTCTCCTCTCCTCTCCTCTCCTCTCATCTCCTCTCCTCTCCTCTCCTCTCCTCTCCTCCCCTCTCCTCTCCTCTCCTCGCTCCTCTAGGATATTCGCAGCTGCATATGTCTGGCTCCTTCGCTTGGACCATTACTTTAGTCGGTGAGCCCGTAACGTCCTTTACGGTGAGTCGCCTCCCCCCCCCTTCCCCCTCCCCCCTCCCCGTCATAGTACCGAGCGTGCGCGGGGGGGGCTGCCGGTTCTCCTACAGACATGGCGAGTTGCTTACAGGGATGCTGTGGTGCTGCCAGGCATGCCCTGGTGCTCAGCAGGATGCTGTGACGCTCGCAGGCCCGACCCCTCCCACGTGACAGACGTCACGGGTGGGGAAGTTAAAACAAGTCCCTTCGGACCTCTCGGTCGGGCCGTTCGGCGAGGTTTCCAGGTTTCGGTCGGGCCTTGCGGTCGTGCTTTTCGGTCGGTTTCGGACCTCTCGGTTAGATTCCTAGGTTCCTACACTCGGGAGCCGCGCCCCTCCGAGGGCGTTCTGGAACGCGATCAGGACTCCTGCGAAGCCGCCCAGAGGCCCAGGGTCATGGCCCAGAAGGCGATCCGAGAACCGCGACGACGAGGGAACGCCGCGAGGGCTGGCGATCGACGACCACGACCGCGACGGCGGCCGCGGCGACAGGCGGCCACCCAACGGCCGCCGCGGCTGCGCCCTGGCGACGGCGGCCACGTCGACGGCGGCCGCGGCGGCGGCGGCCACCCATGCGGCTGCCATGGCGGCGGCGGCCGTGGCGGCGGCGGCCGGCGGTGGCGGCGGTGGTGGCGGCCGCGGCGATGACGGCCACGGCAACGGCGACCGTGGCAGCGGAAGCGGCGGCGAGGAAGCGGCGCGGGGCGCCTGCGGCGCCAGCTGCGCGGGTGTTGGTCGCCGCCGCCGCGGCCGCGCCAGCGGCGTCGCCGGCGGGGGCGGCGACGGGCAGGAGCCCGCGGCCGAAGCGGTGGACCTCAGAGGAGGGCTAGTTCAGCATCGGTGGCCTATACCCCCATCCCCACCGGGCCATGGCATCTCAGCCCCAACCTCCCACCACCCCAGTTGGGCAGGCTTCTCGAAGCCCGAAGGGAACAGCCTATATCCTTATCTAGGAGGGTAAATCGGCCAGTGGGCCCCAGGCCACGTCAGCGGGGACAGTGATCGGTTAAAGTATGCTCGCCAGTTGAGACCCTCTGGCATGCTGGCGGGCGCGGCGGGGCGGGCGAGCGTCGACTTGCCGTGCACGGACGATCCACGCTGTTGCGCCCGCGGCTTGCCCAAGAAAAATTGAGGCACTGGTAGTTGGCCTTCGGGGGGGCCCTCGTTCGCACGGCTGGACGCAGCTCGGAAACGTGGTGCGTTTGGATTTTGGGAGGGGCCCTGGGACCGATTTTGATCTGCCGTTGTCTTCACTAGTCCTGCCCCGGGGATCGGATTCAAATCTCCAGCGGCATAACTTGTTCAACGCCCGCGATGTTTTCATCTGCAGGGGATTCCGTTATCGAGCCGCGGGGGCATCAGAACGGATCCGGGATGATAAAGTGTTCCCAGGGGAGTAGTTGAGATTTGCAGCCACGCGCAGAGAGGGGTAGGGGGAGGAGGGCAGGCTTCTCAGCACGGTGCGGGCCTTGTCTGTAGGTGTATGCCTAAGAAGCAGCCTCCTTCTAAGAAGCCTTCCCCCCTCCCCCTGCTCACCCTCCGCGAGCCGCCAAGCTTTCCGGGGCGCGGATCGGAACAATCAGAGCGTCGGACGTTTGGGGAGGGGGGGCCACTCGTGACCACGGCGGCCGCCTCCCTGGCGTTGCCCGTCCTCCCGCTTCAGGGCTTCTCCGCCGCCACGGCCGGATCCGCCTCGACGAGCGGGCCAGGAGGGGCCCCGGGCCGGCGGATTCTGTTCCGAGCCCAGACGTGGGGCGGGCGGGAGGGCCGCCGTTGTCTCAACTGGCCCTCCTCCGAGACGACGACGCGGACGCAGCGACGGCGCGGACGCCGACGCCGACGCCGACGGCGGCGGCGCTGACGCTGCCGGCGGCAGCACGCGTTCGCCTGGTGAGCCTCGGCCGAGCGCACGGGGCGGTCGGAGCCCCTGGGTGTGTACAGTGGCCGCCCCTCTTGTCGGGGGCAACGCCAGGGGGTGGGGGGATATCAGTATCGTTTAACCTATCCCCATCCCCATCCCCATCCCCTTCGAGACCCCCACCAAATTTCCACCCCAGTTGGGGATACAAGGGAACGACTGGGGCTGGAAATGGAGGCCCGGATTTCGTCAGTGCGTGGGTTCCCCAGTTCTCGGGGCCTGTTCCGCGCGACCGGGTTTTCATCCCGGGCCGTTTCCTGACGGTCCTGCGGCGCCGGAGGCTGCAAACGTCCAGGAGATTCCCGCGCGGAGGCGGGCCATGTCGACAGACGCAAGCCTACAATTTTCGGAGGTCCATGCAGATTTCTCGGATCTGCGCTGGACCCCCTCCCCTGGCGGCGCCTCTGGCGCGCCCCCAGCGCCCCGCGCGCCAGCGAGGGGGTCCAGCGCAGATCCGAGCAGCCCGCGCGGACCTCGGCTCAGCGTGCCCCCACCGCCGTGGGGCCCTGCTCCCTGGCACCAGGTGCCCGCCTGGCCTCTTGGCGGCGCCGCGAGGCCCGGCAGGGGGCCCGGGGCCAGAAGCGACGGCCAGAGGCCCCCCCGTGTCGTGATGGTCTCTCGCAGCGAGGGGACTTTGGGGGGGGGCCGCGATGAGGCGCGGTCGACGGCCGAGGGCGCGGCCAGGGAGGCCGAGGGGCGGAGAGGCGGCGGGGAGGGGGGACGCGGTCCCCGGTCGCGCGAGGAGACGGCGACGGAGACTGGAGCCCGAGGCCGAGCCTGCGGCCTGTTGAGGCGCAGCTCTTCCTCCTCCTCCTCCGCCTCCTCCTCTTCCTCTTTCTCCTTCCTCCTTCTCCTCCTGCTCTTCTCCTCCTCCCCTCCCCCTCCCCTTCCGTCGCCCTTTGATTCCCCCGTGTCGCACCACCATGTGTGTGTGTGTGTGTGCGTAATTACGCCTCAGTTGGAACTTTCATCTGCCGTCCGCGAGTGAGGATCCTCTGCGCAGCAGGCTTTACAGTGTGTGTGTGTGTGTGTGTGTGTGCAATTACGCTGGGCCAGCGTTTCGTCTAATACGTCTTGGTAGTTCATTATCTGGAAACTTTGAGATCTCCAACATCTGCATGGATGGAGGGCCCGTGGTTTTCAAAACGGAGTTCTCTCGGCGCTGCGCACATGCGTCTTCACAGTGTGAAGCAGCCACAAGGATAGAGGGGAAACTATATCCAATACGGGGCTTTCGTCTCCGTCCCGCGCGTACTCTCTCGAAACATTTCCAACAGCTGCAAGGATGGATGGGGTCATTTTCAAAATGGCGTTATTGATGCAGCGCTGTGCACAGTCGTGCTGCAAACTGACAAAAAGTAACGGAAGGCGGTTTCTTTTCAAAACGAGGCCACCGTAACCGCAAATTCTTTCCGTCGCCGCGCGGCAGAGGCGATTCGCTCGCGTTGTTCAGTAGCAGGGGGCGCGCGGCGTACTGACTAACCGGCAGGTTGATGGGAGAGGGCGGCCGCAGAAAACGGGCGGGGGAGTGGGGCATTCACCACGGACAGAGCTTCAGGATGAGCGCGTCGGTGCGGCCAGCCTTTGCTGAGGCGACCTGGCATTAGACGCGGTCACGACCACACCCAGGGCTGCAGGCGTTGGATGCCTAAGGCAAGGCGAGCGGCTAGAGGGCCCACAGCGCCAAGAATGGGAGCATTCAAATGTCCGTCGCGAAGCCGTAAGCGTTAGACTCTGCTGCGGCAGAACGGCGCCAACAGGATGCAGACACGGACCAGGTGGCCGTGGCAAGGAGACGGGGCCGCGAACGGCGTGTTGTGGCAGAGCGCTGCAGTGCTGAGCCCACATGCTGATGCTGAGCTGCTGGGCTGCCGCAGCGGTGCAGCGTGGGCGAGAAGCCGCCGGCCCACGCCCAGGGGAGCCCCAGGCGGCGACGGGGCGGCGCGAGCGGGGGAAGGGGCGAGTCCCCAGGCCCCCGCCGGTGCGCGCATCACAGCTGGGCGGGGCGGGGGGCGCCCGGCCGCAGGGCTGGCCAGGGAGGGGCGCCCAGCTGCGTGAGCAGCAGGGCGGGCGGCCCAGCGCGAGCCGGGTGGGGGGCCGATCCGCGCGCAGCCAGCGCGGGCCGCGCGCAGGGCAGCACCCGGGCGCGCAGCGCGAACAGCACAGCGCTTGGAGCAGCTGCACCTGGAGCGCCACGCTGGGCTCCGTCAGGTGCGAGGGCTTTCCAGGTGGGGAAGGGAATATCGCATTGCGTATGTCGAGAGAGTGAAAGCGTTTGCGTCGGCTGATGTCATGTCTGCACCCCAAGAGCAACAAACCACTCAAATTCCGTTTTGTGCGCTTGCTCGGGAGTGTGTTCGACGGCGACTTCGACTCTCCTAAGGTTTCTGGAGTTGCTAGTGTGCGGCCCTGGGGATGCGGGTTGGGCTTTGATCTTCGTCGGCCGCCCATCTACCTAGGGTCATTGAGGGATTCGCGTAGCTAGCAGTCTGGGATGACCGTCGTCCACGCGCTCTCCTCCGCCTCTTGGCATGAGGAGAGGAGCTGTTGCCTCGTCGTGCTGCTGTTGAAGTTTGTCCCAGTGGTGTTTGGCGATGAGCTCGGTGGTGTGCTGTCCACGCGCGTAGGCCCGCTCGCTGCGCCTTATCGGCCCCGTTGCCGCGCCTGGCGAGGCGGGGCCACGGGTGGTGCTGAGCGCGGTAATGCTCAGCGGCGAGGCGCGGTCTTGACAAAAACAGGCTTCTTCTGTTGCGCTTTCTGTTGTGCCTTGTGCTTGGGTGTTGTGCTGGGCCGCGGCGGTCTGCTGTGCGACAGCTTCGGCGCCCACATTTGCTGGCCTCGCGGTTGCGTGGCCAGCAGCTGCCTGCTCAGGCTGGTAGCGGACTGGGGGAGCTCCCCGCGAACCCTTCTTCTTTTCTCCATGCCGTGCCCGACGGTTTCCTGTTGTGCGTCGGTTTCGGTGATGTCCTTGGGGTGCCGAGCCGCTGCTGGGCCCCAGTGGGCCGGGGGCGGTCCCGCGCGCCCACATGTCCTACGACCTCCGTTGAGGTTTGAGCGGAAGCCGCGCTGGCCACCGCCATAGCTGCCTGCTGTCTGTGCTCTCCGACGGCGTTCCAAGCCTCGCCTCCTCGTATCCTCCTCCTCTCTCCTCCTCTCCCTTCCTCCTCCTCCAGGTCCTCCTCCTCCTCGTCCTCCTCCTCCTCCTCGTCCTTCTCCTCCTCCTCCTCCTCCTCCTCCTCCTCCTCTCCTCTCCTCTTCCTCCTCCTCCTCCTCCTCCTCCTCCTCCTCCTCCCTCCCCCTCGCCCCCTCCTCCTCCTTCTCTCTCCTCCCCGCCCCCCCCCCCCACCACCCCCCGCGGCCCACCCGCAGCGGCCTGACCGCTGCAGGGCCCGCGCCGTGCGCGCGGCGGGGCGGACAAAAGGCCACGAGCCCGCGCGCCGTCGCCGTCGGCCGCCGCCGCGCCCGCGGCGGTGGCCGCCGCCGTCGGGCGGAGGGAAGGGGCTTCGAGGGAAGGAACCGTGGAGCCGTCTGGGGGTCCTGAGGTGGCCCAGCACTGGTTCAAGAGAGCAGGAAGAAGCGAGGTCCGAGGTTCCAGGTTCGGCGACCGTGGCAGTTTTTTTGTTTTTGTTTGTTTTTGCGGACTCGGGGGCCTTTTTCGGGCCCCGCAACCGTCAAAAGCGGATCCGGGGCGACAATTGCACCAGATGGCTCCGGGAAGGGTCTGGGGATCGATTTTGGACGGATGTGGCTTCTGCTGACAGTTTTTCTGGGGCTCCAGTCCGTGCAGTTTCCCTGGCTGTCAGTGCCCCGGCAAACTGCACGCGCCGACCCGGACCCGAATGTCTCGGGATCTCGTCGACTTCGACCTCGGCCGTGGCCCTCGCTGGCCGTCGCCCCCCCCCCATCGCGGCCCGCCGCGGCGGCCTGGCCGCTCCAGCGACCGCGCCGTGCGCGCAGCAGGGTGGACAGCGGGCCACGAGCTGGCGCGCCGCCTCCGCCGGCCGCCGCCGCGCCCGCGGTAGTGGCCGCCGCCGTCGGGCGGAGAGGAGCAGCTTTCCTCAGGGAAGGCACACGTTCGCGGTCGGCAGGGGACGGCGAGCGCCTGCACGAGTGGCCAGCTGGCGCGCGCGGGGAGGGCACGGTGGACGAGCAGGAGAGAGAAGCGGGCGGCTGGCGGAGGGCGAGCGCGGCTTATAGAACACCCAGGGAAGGTCTACTCTAGGCCTACTCGTAGGGCCTACCCCTAGACCTACCCCCAGGGCCTACCCCTAGGGCCTAACCCTAGGGCCTACCCCTAGGGCCTACACCTAGGGCCCATCCCTAGGGCCTATCCCTAGGCCTACCCCCAGGGCCTACCCCCAGGGCCTGGATGGAGGCCTCAGGCGCAGCGTGTCCACGCCGCGAGGTGCGAGGGCGGCGTCGGGCACCGCAGGCCCGTGCGCCCGAAGGCGTGCGGTCGGTCCCGGCTGCCGAAGGCGACGCCAGCGCGATCCCAATGGAGAGGCATGGCGTCATCAACCAGGTGGAGGGGAGAAAGGCACTGACCATGGCCAAGATGTCGTGGGATCGTGTCGGCTCCGATCTTGGTCATGGTCCATGCCGGTCGTCGCCGATTCGCGAGGGCGATCAACGAATTGACGCTGACCAGCTCCCGTGGTACACGCATGTTGCAGCTTCCTGGCCGCCTCCACAGCTTGCAGTCCCCCCCTCGGCGCAGCTCAGCCCAGGCGCAGCTGCTTCCCCTGGCGGTAGGGCTGGCCTTGCTCGGCGCGCGCGCGCCGGCAACTAGGTTACTCGTAGCCCGAGCTAACTCTGCTGGCGCTGTGGGCGCCTTCGCCTGCGGCCGCGACAAAAAAAGTATCCCCACCAGCCTCGTAGCCTGGTCTGACTTCGGACGCCGCCTGCGCTTTCGCTTGCGGCCGCGACCAAAAGTATCCCCACCAGCCCATCCAGACATGATCGGAGGCTTTATTGAGGCCTTTTGGAGGCTATCTTGAGCCATGCTCGGCTCTTGACTGTTGGAGGCTATCTTGAGCCCTGCTCAACTATCTTGGGCCATCTGGAGATTGTCTTGAGGCCTCTTGGAGGTCTGTCGGAGGCTATCTTGAGCCATGCTTGGCCTCCTGGGACCATTTTGGGGATAGGAGGAGGAAGAGGAGGAGGAGGGGGAGGAGGAGGAGGAGGAGGAGGAGGAGGCGGAGGAGGAGGAGGAGGAGGGAGGGAGGGAGGGAGGGAGGGAGGGAAGGAGGGAGGGGGAGGGAGGGAGGAGGAGGAGGAGGAGGAGGGGGAGAAGGAGGAGGAGGAGGAGGGAGGAGGCATGAAAGGAGGAGGGAAGGAGCGGACGATGACAAGGAGGATGAGAAGTCGGGCTTCGGATATATGTTGTTGTGAGAGGTTTTTGAAGGACAATCGAGGCCATCTTAGGGGCACTCTCGGGGCGCTCTTGGGGCTCGTTCTGGGCGTCTTGGGGCCCTCTTGTGGCTCATTGGAGGGGTCTGGGAGGCTTCTTGGTCCCCATGGCTCAGAAAGAGGGGTGCTGGTGATGATGATGATGGTGATCGTGATGGTGATGGTGATTTTATTGGTGACTGTGATTTTATTGGTGATTGTGATGGTGATGGTGATGACGCAGGTGACGGTGATGATGATGGTGACGAAGATGGTTATGATGATGATGATGATGATGATGGTGGTGGTCGTGGTGGTGGTGGTGGAGGTGGTCATGATGGCGATGACGATTACGATGACGATGATGATGATGATGATGATAATGATGATGATGCTGATGCTGATAATGATGATGATGCTGATGATCATGATGATGATGATGATGACGATGATAATGATGATGGTGATGCTGATGATGGTGATGACGGTGATGATGATGATGATGAGGATGATGATGATGCTGATGCTGATGCTGATGATGATAATGATGATGCTGATGCTGCTGATGATGATGATGCTGCTGTTGGTGCTGCTGCTGCTGCTGATGATGATGATGATGATGTTTTTGATGATGATGATGATGATGTTGATGATGATGTTGATGATGATGATGATGATGATGATGATGATGATGATGTTGATGATGATGATGATGATGATGATGATGATGATGATGATGTTGATGATGATGATGCTGATGATGATGATGCTGATGATGATGATGTTGATGATGATGATGATGATGATTTTGATGATGATGATATGATGATGATGATGATGATGATGATGATGATGATGATGATGATGATGATGATGATGATGATGATGATGATGATGATGATGATGATGATGATGATGATTATGAGAGTGTCGACGGCGGGCCCTCATCGGCGTTCCCAAGGCTTGGTGACCACGCGATGCATGTTTCGGGACTTCGCTGGGCTTTTGCGCAATGGCACTGGATTTTGTGGAACATTGGTTTGCACGTTTCGCCCCGTTGTTAATCGTTTTCTTATCTGGCGACCACTCCGGGATTCCGCGATTCCGCGCACCGGTTCTCATGCTAGGATCATGCAGTGGAGAACCATGCCAAGAAACACCCTGCTTGCCTCCAAAGGTGCCCTGGGTTTCTTGGGTTTCGATGGTTTTGCGATGGAGAGCGTGACGGTCCCACACCAAAAACCAACGGACCCCCTGGGGCCTCAGGGTCGGGTTTCTCGTGGAAGTTTCCTGTGTAAGGGCCCCCTACTGTGAGGGGGTGCGGAGGGGGGGCGCTGACTGCGTTGGGAGATCACCGTGCGTGGATTCTCACTGCGCGCGGGCGCACAGCACTGCGTGGGTCCAGCCGTCCTTGTCGAAAGTTACACAACTGAATTGGAAAACGGCTGTAGTACTAAGTCGGGCGTGTCCCTCTACAGGAGGGATATTGACAAATAGTCAAAAATAGTCAGGGGACGATTTTTATCCGTAAGGGCTTCGCCCCATGCCGCCAGCCCCCTGTCTCGGAGAATGGGAGATGCAAAAGCTAAATCATGAGGTCTGGGCGCCGCCGCGAAGCAGTGTCGGGACCTGTTTGTTTTTCGACCCTGACCCTACGGATCTGCGTCACGGGTGCCACCGAGTTTCAGAAATGTGGCAAATCCCTTGTGTTTTTGTACCCTGACCATACGTATCTGCGTGAGGGGTGCCGCCGAATTTCAGAAATGTGGCAAATCCCATGTGTTTTGGGACCCTGACCCTGCCAATCTGCGTGAGGGGTGCCGCCGAATTTTGAGAAATGTGGCAAATCCCATATGTTTTTGCACCCTGACCCTGCCGATTTGCATGAGGGGGGCCACCGAATGTTAGAAATGTTGCAAATCCCTTAAGTTTTTGGACCTTGACCCCGCCGATCTGCCTGAGGGGTGCCACCGAATGTCAGAAATGTAACAAATCCCATGTGTTTTGGGACCCTGACCCCGCCGATCTACGTGAGGGGTGCCGCCGAATTTAAGAAATGTAGCAAATCCATTGTGTTTTTGTTTCCTGACCCCGCCGATCTGCGTGAGTGGTGCCACCGAATGTCAGAAATGTGGCAAATCCCATGTGTTTCTGGACCCTGACCCCGCCGATCTGCGTGAGGGGTGCAACCACATGTCAGAAAAGTGGCAAATCCCTTATGTTTTTGCACCCTGACCCCGCCGATCTGCGTGAGGGGTGTCAATTTTTACCCACCCCAGCAATTCAGACAGCACGCTCAGGGCGTGGTAAAAATGCCCGTTTTGGGCCTCCCCCCCTCGCGCGGTCCATCAACAAGGAACAGTAAGCAGCAAGAAGCAGAATTGTAAGAAGGAACAGTAAGCAGCAAGAAGCAGAACTGTAACAGTGGAAATTGGAAGCTGCAGCTGGTACAGGAAACTGCGAAGCTTCGGCCTACATCCTGGTGGCCCCACAAGGGGGCCGGCGGATTTTTTTCTTTTCTTTCTTCTTCCCCATTATACCATTCTTGAGTTTTTTTTCGACTATCTTGAATTTTTTGTCCAACAAATCAGCCTGTAGGAGGACATGCCCGACCTAACTGTAGTACATCACTTGGCGTCCCAGATGCTCCGAGTGTGCCCTTCTGCGCCCCGGCGGCGCGGGCGCAGTCCGCGGCGGCGCGCCCGCCGCGATGGCGGGCCTCGGCGGCGGCGCGCCCTCCAGCAATCGCCCGGGCCGCGGCGGGTGCGGCGAGGCGGAGGAGGCCCGGATCCCCCGGCGGCTTGTCGATGCTACGTGTTTTGTGTCGGAGATTAGACAGCGGTATGCAGTGGGGGCCCGTGCCAAGAAACCCCCCTTGCGTGCCTCCAGGGTGCCCTGGGTGTCTTGGGTTTCGAGGGTTCTTTTTTGCGATGGAAGGCGTGACGGTCCCACACCAGAACTCAAGGGACGTCCTGGGGCCTCAGGGTTGGGTTTCTTGTGGAAGTTTTCTTGTGGTCGGGCCTCCACTGTACACATGATTTGTCGGCCCACGAAGATTTCCCACGTCGGCGTTGGGCCCACCCCTGGCGGTGCCTCCAGCGCGGCCCCCAGCGCGCTCCGCGCGCCAGGAGGGGCTCCTCGCCGATCCGGAAACCCTGCGCGGACCTTCCAGAAATTTGTCTGTGCAATTTTTTCCATGTGGCGTCGCAGTCCCAGCGCTTTGGCTCCGATTTCTGGGCCTCTGGGGCCCGTTCGTAGCAGGGGGGCCGCGGGGCCCGTCAGAAGTTGGTCCGGGGCCGAAAAGCTGTCTCCAGAGGGCATCAGTGAACAAAAAACCACGCATTGTCGTCAAACGGTTACGTAGAGTCCTGGTCTGCACGTCGGCCCTACAAAACGTGCTCTCATGACCTCTCGGTTGGTCTGTGCAGTATTTGTTTCTGTTGGCAGTCCTGGCCGAGTCACGTCTGCATCCGAACTGCGTTTCTGAGGGCAACTTTGGCTTCCAGTGAATTCTTTTCCTCTCTGATCGTTTCGTCGTGGTCTAGGCCTGCAGAACTGCTGGCGCTGTCGGCCCCCTCTCCGGCGAGGAGCCGCAAGCGCAGGGCCTCGAGCTGCTCCTGCGGGCCGTTGACGACTTCTGCGGCGCCTGGTTCCCCGACGCCACCGAGCCGGACGCGGTGCAGCCCTTCTGGTTCGCGGCGGGCTACCCGCGGCAGCGGAAGTTCTTCAGGACCGCCGTGAGTGAGAGGGGTTCTTCGGTGGCGAGCCATGGTAGCTTTGAGTCGGGTATGTCTACAGGAGGAATATTCGAGAAGAGTCCGAAAAAAGTATGGAACCAATTTTTCGACTATTTTGGAATACTTTTCGATATTTGTTGTCATGTATATTTTTCCATTCAAAATTTGCCTGTAGGAGGACATGCCCGACCTAATGGTAGCTTTGTAGGTCCTCGAAAGTCCGATGAATGTCGATTGCCTTCGGTGAGCGTCGCTCAGCGCCAGTTCGCAAGAGCCAGCAAGATGTCACGGGAGGCTCCCATGAGTTGCCGCAGGAAGAGGGGGTCCCGAGGGAAGTGGGTTCTGGAGTCTGAGAAGACAAAATCGCACAGACGTGGATTTACGGCGGTCCGCCGCGCCCCCCCCGGGGTCCTCGCGTCCGTGAGAGGGGTCCAACGCCGATCCAAGAAATCTGCGCGCACCTCCGAGATGGTTCGGTAGGTTCGCGTCGTGTTGACCGGCGGCGACCCCGCCGTTGTCGTTCAACGTTGGACGCCGTCGGCGACCCACAATCGGTCGATGCTGAACGATTGGACATTTCCGGAGACGGCCGAACCAACGCCGAAGTCGGCACGACGTTTATGAATGTTTGTTGTTATTCTTCGGCAGGCGGCATGGCCGACGCTCCTGGGGCCTTCCACGGGGTCAGGAGCGTCGGAAGTCGACTCGGGATGAAAAGCTGGGCCCTGGGGTGCAGGTCCCGTTTTCCCCCGGGACCCGAGGGCCCCCCTCACAAAGCCGGAGGGTTCCAAAGTTTTCGGGGAGGGGGTTGTCCAGAGAGCCCCCCCAGGGGCCTCGGAACCTCGCCAAAACAGGGGGCGCGAAGCCACTGGGGGACCCCTCCTGGAAAACCCCCTCCCCCCAAACCCCCTTGGGAACCCTCTGGAACAGTTTTTCGCCGCTTTCGGCTCTCAGGGGCCCTCCACGGGCCCCGGGACTGTCAACAAAACGACTCGGGATGACGAGCTGGTCTTGGGGGACGGCCCAGGGGTCGAGGTAGGTACGCTCCTTGAGGTCCGATGCCCGAGGCACTCTCGACATCGCCCTGGTGTCCCTCGAGCCTCGAACCTCGAGGAGGTGGAAGAGGAGGAGGAGGAGGAGGAGGAGGAGGAGGAGGAGGAGGAGGAGGAGGAGGAGGAGGAGGAGGAGGAGGAGGAGCAGGAGCAGGAGCAGGAGCAGGAGGAGGGGATCCGATTGCCCCGTACCAGAGGAAGCTGTGCAGGCGCTTCGAGCAGCCCCTCGAGCTCGCGCTGCAGGCCGAGCCGGCCTCCCTGCGCAGCCTGGATGGGGCGTGGCCAAATGGTGCCCCTGGCTCAGGGCGTCTCCGAAGGCTCGGAGGAGGAGGAAGATGAGACGGAGGGGGAGGAGGAGGAGGTGGAGGAGGAGGTGGTGGAGGAGGAGGAGGAGGAGGAGGAGGAGGAGGAGGCGGAGGCGGAGGCGGAGGCGGAGGGAGGAGGAGGAGGACGAGGAGGAGGAGGAGGAGGAGGAGGAGTTGGAGGAGGAGGTGGAGGAGGAGGAGGAGGAGGAGGATGGGGAGGAGGAGGACCAGTGTAAGCGTAAGCTTCATCAACGATGTTGGAGTACACCCTCTCTCCAAGCTTCCTCTTCATAGGCTCCATACAAGGGTTCATGTCCACTGAGGGGAGTCCCCCGTTTGGGACAACCGTGTGGAAATCCTGAGGTGTGCCAAACCACCATTTGCACGACTTCAATGCCACGAGTCAACCTGACTGTTGCGTCTTGGCGATCCTGAGTCGTGCCACAACAACATTCCTGGCATCTCAATACCGCGAATCAACGTAGCGGTTGCGCCCTGACAGTCTTGAATCGGTCCCGAATACCACTTTTGGTACGTTGACCATGAGAACCAGTGGTGAAGCTCTGGCAAATGTTCGAAAACGAATGTTCGCGGCGCGAAGGCGAGAGCCGCATTTTGGCAACCACCCGTCCTCAATCCGTGAAGCTCCTGCAGTTTTTCGAAACGAATGTCCGCGGCGCTGAGGCGAGAGCTACGTCTTGGAACCACCCGTCCTCTATCTGTGAAGCTGTGTCAGTTTTTAGGCTCCAGGCTCATACATGGCGAGGAGGAGGATGATGATGATGAGGAGGAGGAGGAGGTGGAGGAGGAGGAGGAGAAGGAGGAGGAGGAGGAGGAGGGGAGGAGGAGGAGGGGGAGGAGGAGGAGGAGGAGGAGGGGGGAGGAGGAGGGGAGCAGGAGAGGAGGAGGGGGGAGGGGGAGAGGAGGAGGAGGGGAGGAGGGGAGGAGGAGGAGGAGGAGGGGAGGAGGAGGAGGAGGAGGCGGAGGAGAAGGAGGAATAGAGCACCACTCACGGGGCCCAGAGGGCCCCAAGGCTCCACGGGTGGAGTGCGTGAGGCTCGGGGGCCGCCGTCTTCGGCCCGGGGCGCCTCTGGCCACGTCCGGGCGGACTGCCCCGCGAAGCTCCGCCTCTGCGTCTTCCTGGACCAGCAGAGCCGCAACGCGCGGGCCGTCGCCCAGGGCCCCGCCGAGGGCAAGGCCGGGCCGAGCCAAACGTATTTTGTAATCTATATACATATATATGTATATATATGTATATATATACATGATTATGTTTATAGGTGCGTCTGCCACGCAAGGGCGACGCACATGCTCGGAAATCTTTCAGTGTAAGCTCCGTGGCGGGCGCTTTTCCCCAAACAGTGCTTGCACTGAGAGGTTCTTAATTTGTTTTCCAGGGAACTGGGCCTGCGCGTCGGTCGTGCGGCTGGGTGGTTGTCGCCGTCGCCGCCCCGTCGCCGCTTCGACGCCTCCAGTTTTCTTGGCCTGCCCGTCGATCTGGCGGCCATGTGGTCGCCGTCGCCGCCCCGTCGCCGCCTCGTCACCGCCAGTTTTCTGGGTTTGCCCGTCGGTCTGGCGGCCATGTGGTCGCCGTCGCCGCACTGCATAGATTGCACAACATAGATTGCACAACATAGGTTGCACCGTATATACTGCACCGTATAGATTGCCCAACATATATTGCACCGCATGTATTGCACCAGATCTATTCTCCTTTCTTGAAGAAATAAGGATCCCCACCCGGCTTTATCAGTACACCTTTTTGTGCTGCAATTTACATATGATTCTGCCCCATCGTCCATCCTAGCTATGAATGCGCACCATCCGAGCTGAGCTGCGTTCGATCCCCCCCCGCCATCCTCTGCAACACATACTAGGCGCGCACACTCGTTCATCAACAAGTCTTAGTTTTTTCTTGAACCCCTTGCAGAAAATGAGACGAAGTGCACGCGTGCGCGTCAAAAACCATCGGTTTCGGAAGGACTTCAAAATTGAGTATCCAAAACAAATATTGAACACATGGTCTCGCAACACGGATTATCAAAACAAACTTGCGCGCGCGCTCTTGCGAATCCTTCAGAAAACCTATTGTTTTGTTCTCTTGTTCTGTTGTTTAAAACAATGGCACATGTTCTCAACATGTTACCCAAGTGGCTTCCCGCGCATGTCGAAATCGTTTGAACGTCCTTGCGCGCGTGCTGGGGTGGCACGACCCGTGTCAAATAACACCATGCGGGCCACTCTCGCGCGTCTGCCGTGCGCGCATTTCGACCTCCTCTTAAAACCTTCATCGCCAACGCGAAGGCGCCGTCATCGTCGTCGGCGTGATCAGCGTCGGCACCGTCACTGGCTGCCCCGTCGTCGTTGTCAGCATCGTCATTGGCATCGCTACTATTATCATCATCATCATCATCATCATCATCATCATCATCATCATCATCATCATCATCATCATCATCATCATCATCATCAGCAGCAGCAGCAGCAGCAGCAGCAGCAGCAGCAGCATCATCATCATCATCATCATCATCAGCATCATCATCATCATCATCATCATCGTGTCGACGTTGCCATGTTACCGCGCCCGCCCAAGTCGCCGACTCGCTGAGGGGCCCGCTGGGATGTGCCGAGCGGTCAGTGCCACCGCGTTCGCGTCGGTCGCGCCAAACTAGCTGGCCGCTGCGCGCGCGAGCATGCGCGGGCTAACGCGGCCACAGAGATGCACCAGCCAACGCCAAGCACTCATCGCAATCGTTACCGCGTGGATTTTGCAAACCAAGTATCGGGTGGGTGGGTGGGATGATTGCGCGAGCAGTGGAGTTGACAATTTCAAGTTCGGCAAGTGAATTCATTCTACACCATAGATTGCACCACACATGTTGCACCGCACATATTGCACCACAAATCTTGCACCATATCGATTGCACAGTATCGAGTGCGCACTGCATATACTGTACCACTTAGATTGCACCATATGTATTTCACCACATCTATTGCATTACATATATTGCACCACATACGTTGCGCCGTATGTAGTGCATACCGTATGTCCAGGTACATAGGCAGACACCTGTATACACACATCTATGTATATGTATACACATCACCATACTTACTGCACATTTTCTGCTCTGCCTGCCGCCAGGCGGCGCCCGACGAGCCGCCCGGGCCCATCGCCGAGGCCCGCGTGGAGCGCTGCTCGGCGCTGGCCCTGCGCCTCGCCGAGGAGATCCTCGGCGCGACGGCGCCCGCGGAGGCGCCCGCGGCGCGCGCGGAGGTGCTCGATCAGGGACAACGCCCAGGTTGGCGAAGGGCGGCGGTTCGAGGTTCGAGGTTTTCGGGCGTTTTTGTGGGCTCTCGTCGGCTCTCCAGCCTCGGGGTGCCTTCCAGCAGCTGCGCTTTGCCGAGAGCGTTCTGGGGGTGCCCGGATCGTCCCGAACGGCCGCGTGAGGCCCGAGCTATGGCCCGGAACCCTTCGGATCAGGGGCAGCGTTTGCTGGGGATAGGCTGAGGGGGGGACGCGTCGACCCCCAATCGCCCATTCATCGCCGATAGGGGCCTGATAGCCCCATCCCGCCGAGGAACATGCGAAGTCGTCATCGGGAGCCCAGCGCCGATCCGTCGGCGGCGTATTGCGGATTCCAGGTCCATGCTCCCCCCGTTGCAGCCAGTCCCCCTTTCTCGTTGCCTCTGGCTCGGAGAAGAACAGGTTTGTCGCCAAGAAGGAAGCGGGCCCTGAGGGAAACGGGGGTACGTATTCGTTTTTGTCCCAACCATCCTGTGGTGCTGGGTGTTAGTCTTGAAGAGGCAGCCCCCTGCGTCCCACCCGCTCGCCCACTCCTCTCCTCCCCATCCTCCTTCGTCCCTCCTCCCTCCTCCCACGCCTGCCTCTGCCCTCCGCATGTCCATTTCGGCACGCACCTCGCGGTTGCATGGCCCCATAGGGAGCTCCAGCTGAGGCCCAAGTGCCATAGTCCGCATGCTTTCTCCATTTCATTTCGGTGCACCCTCGCGCGTTTCTTGACCCCCGGGGGGAGCTCCACCGAAGGCCCAAGTGCCAGGGCCCGCATGCCTTCTTCATGCAATTTCGGTGCACCACTCGCACGCTTCGTGGTCCCACAGGGAGCTCCACCTTGAGGTCCTGGTGCCAGGGCCTGAATGCCTTCTCCACACCATTTCGGCGCACCCCTCACACGTTTCGTGGCTCCATAGGGAGCTCCACCTTGAGGCCCCAGTACCATGGCCTGGATGCCTTCTCCACACCGTTTCGGCGCACCCCTCACACGTTCAGTGGCCCCCTATGGGGACCTCCTCCTGAGGCCCCAGTGCCAGGGCCCGGATGCCTTCTCCACACCATTTTGGCAGCACCCCTCACACGTTCAGTGGCTCCGTAGGGAGCTTCAAGGAGCTTCGCCTGAGGTCCCAGTACCATGGCCCGCGTACCTTCTCCTTGACCATTTCGGCGCTCCAGTCACACGTGTCGTGCCCCCCCCCCCCCCCCCCCCCCCCCCCCCCCCCCCCCCAGGGGGCTCCTCCGATGACGGTACTCACAATTACGGTAGTCACAATTGCATATGGTCGGGTCTTTCGCCAGAGGTTCTCCAGGGCCCTACAGGACGCCTCCAAAATGAAATTGCGCTACCGAGGAACCCACATACCTATTATTTCCCATGGTACCATCGGTGCTTCTGCTGCTGCTCACTCCTTCTCCTCCTCGGTGTCTCCTCTGGCCTGCTGCTTGGCGCTGCTGCTTCGCTGCTGCTGCTGTGATTGCTGCTGGCTGCGTACTGCTGCTGCTGCTTTGCCGTGCTGCTGACCCACCTCCCCGTCCTCCCTCCTTCTCCTCCTCCTCCTCCTCATCCTCCTCCTCCTCCTCCCCTCTCCTCCTATACCTCTCCTCTCCTCCTCTACCTTCCCAGCGCCTCGCCACTGGCGTTCGAGGAAATGCCACGACTGCAACGCCCTGGGAGCCTACAACGCATAGGGGCCCCCCACCCCCAGCGCACCCCTGTGCGCGTCGAGGAACTGCCACGCCTAGCCACGCCCGGGGAGCCTACAACGCATAGGGCCCCCCACCCCCCGCGCCACCCCCTGTGGGCGTCGAGGAAATGGCAAGCCTGACACGCCCCTGAGGAGCCACAACGCATAGGGCCCCACCTCCCGCGCACCAATGTGGCGTCGAGGAAATGCCACGCCTGCCACGCCCTGGGAGCCTCCAAGAATAGGGCCCCCAGCTCCAGCGAAAACCCCTGTGGCGTCGAGGAAATGCCACGCCTGCCACGCCCTGGGAGCCTACAACGCATAGGGCCCCCACCCCCAGCGCACTCTCTGTGGCGTCGAGGAAATGCCACGCCTGCCACGCCCTGGGAGCCTACAACGCATAGGGCCCCCCCCCCAGCGCACCCCCTGTGGCGTCGAAGGAATGCCCTGTGTGCTATGCTGTGCTGTGCTGTGCTGTGCTGCTGTGCGGTGAGCTGTGCTATGCTGTGCCGTGCTGTGCTGTGCTGTGCTGTGCTGCGCTGTGCTGTGCTGAGCTGAGCTGAGCTGGGCTGTGCTCAGCTGTGCCGTGCTGAGCTGAGCTGAGCTGAGCTGTGCTGAGCAGTGCGAGAAGGAGAAGGGGAGGAGGGAGGAGGTGAGATGCGGGTGCAGCGCGGCAGGGAAATAACCAGAACCCTACGAAACATGTGGGGAAAAACTCTCAAGGACGTTTTTCTGGGGGGGTTCGGGTGGTTCCCGAGTCCACCCAGGAACCACCCCAAGAACCCCTCAAAAGGGGTTTTCGGATGGGCTTTTTTGGGGGTTCTCCAGGGCATCCCGGGACGCCCTTCAAGAATCACCCTACATTTCTTCCCCTTTGTTCGGCTTTCTGGGGCCCTCCACGGGCCCCGGGGCTGACAGAAATCGACTCAGGATGAAGAGCTGACGTCCCATGGTTCCAGGACCCGTTTCCCTCAGGACCCTTTTCCTTCGTGCCAAGGTTGCGCAAGCACATGTTTTCGGAGGTCCGTGCGGATGTCTCGGATCGTCGCTGGGCCACCTTCTCCATGGCACGCGGAGAGTGCCAGGGGTGGCGCGGGGTTCCCCAGCGTTTGCCAAGAAGTCAGCGCGGCCCCCAACAACTTTTTTTTGTTTATGCAGCCTGTCCTTCCTCGCTTCATCGCCTCCCCCCCTCCCTCACCCATCTCCTTCGTCCCCTCCCTCCCCCGAACAGTTTGTGCTTGTGGCGTTTCCCTCATCCAGAGGCGCTGCTCGCCGCCGCACGGTGCTCGAGGGCACAGCTGTGCTTCTTCACCCTGGTGCTCAGGCACACCTGGCGGCTGGAGCAGACCCTCAGAAGTTTGGACCCATTCCTCTAGGCCTCCCAGATGGGGTCCGAGTAGATGGGGTCGGAGGATCGCGCCGCATCGCCGATGCATCGGCGATGCGGCGAAATCCTCCGACCTCATCTGGGAGGCCTCTTATTCCCCTGCACCGGTTTTTCATCCCAGGCCGTTTCTTGACGGTTCTGGGGCTTAGGGGGGCCTCAAGGGGCAAGAAATCGTAAAACACCTTGCGTCGTGATTCTTTCACGACGCGAGTGGGACTGGGCACCGCTCACCACGATCGGCGAACACACGTATCCGCGCCCCCGCGGTCTGGATTCCAGGGCGCGATCCCGCGGATACGCGGTCGCACGGATACGTTCCGCGCGGACACGGCTCCGTTTTTCCGCCTCCGATG